AGCAATACTCGATTTAAGAACAGGAACTTGGAGTATTGATTATGACTATCAGCTACCAACGTGCTCGAGTCAGATTCAAAATTATCTGCAGCCCTCCTAAAATAATAGTGGTGACTTAAATAGCGTCTAGCTGCCGCTTCCTCTATGTGGTGCTTGAATGTAACTCCTGCTGGGCTGAGATCTGAATTCATTCGTGACTGATTTCCCAAAGCTGGTGTGCCAAGATGAACCCACTTGAAACTGGTGGGCTCTCGGACTTGGCTGCAAGAGCAGTCCAGCTGAGGTGGGCTGGCCCGGCATCTGCTGCCTTCATTGTGCCTAATGCTGCACCCATCTGTTTTCTGTCAGAGCCAGTGCCAACAAATTACTAATCTATTAGAGAACCATGGGATGAAGACTCACTCCTCAGTCCTGGCCTTTCCTCTCACATTTTGCTTGGCTTCCACATTTGGATTCTGTTTGTTGGAGCACAGATAGGAGCTGTAGTCTACATAGCGTGGGGTGGGTCATGCCCTGCCCAATCCGCTCATCTTTAAAGGTGGTAGGGAAGCGGCCCCGGTGTCCTGTGGCTCAGTGCTGATGGTAGCGCTGCAGGCTCTGTGCCATTAGTGTGGCAGCTCTCTGGTGACAGCGCCACTGTGGGGAAGTCAAATAACTCGGAAAGGTCGCGCTGCCAGGCAGTGTCAGAAGCAGAGCTCATCTCTCCATGCTAAGGCCTGGGCTTTACCCTGGAAGCCATTCAGAGCCTTCAGAAAGGGTGGTCATCTAGGCACATGGGTTTAGTGAGGAAAGCTTTTAAAGCTTCAAGGAAGAGAAAGGGGACTTTGTATTTCTTCCCCCACACAGAGGCCTCTAGAATTAGAGCAACTCCCAAGACATGTGATTCTGTGTCAGCCCGACTGAAGGAAATAGAGTGAGAGTGGTAATCCCAATACAGGCTGCACATCAGAGCTCTGTGGGCCACACTAACCGTCCAGAGTCCTTCCTGCCGAAGCTGGAGCTCCCCCCCCACCACCACTGCAAACCATCCCCAGAGTCTACAAAGGATGCAAGCTTGGGGAAGGATACAGGACAGTCAGGAAAGCTGAGCCATTCTTTCTTCTGTGGATCTTCATCAAGATTCATCAGCTTTTTAGGCCCTCACTCCATAATGAGTCAGACCCAGAATGGGAGATCTCTGTCTCTTAGCACAGTAAGCAAAGCTCCATAAGGTCAGGAACTCGCTTTAGTAAAATGGCATTCAGAGTGGGGTACAGTTTGCAGTGGCCATGTCTAGATGCTTGTTTAAGGCAAGATTCAAGTGTCATTTCCTTTTTTGTTTGTTTGTTTGTTTTGAGACAGGGTAGCCCTGGCTGTCCTAGAACTCACTCAGGTTGGCCTCGAACTCACAGAGATCCACCTGCCTCTGCCTCCCAGAGTGCTGGGATTAAAGGTGTGTGTCACCAACGCAGGCTTCAAGTGTCATTTTCAAAAGGAAAGGGGCTTCTTCCCCAGGAGTCGTTCATCAGGTGTTGGGAGGGTGCGAACTAGTGTCCGAGTAATAGTGTGAGCGTGTGATCATTTGCTAGGATGCTCGCACTGTAAAGAGTTTGTCTGGGTAAAAGCAAAGCCAAAAAGGAGCTGAGACAGAGATACTACAGGTGAGGGGCTGTGACATCAGAGTGCCTACTCATGGGGAAAGCATCCATTGCCAGCTTTCTGAAGATCCAGGAGAGTGCTACTCCTGCTGAGCTGGCCCTCTGCAGGCAGATGACCCAGAGGTGGGACCCCCGGAAACCACTTCAGAACTTTCTGGAAGAAGTTTTCAATTGTGAACAGTTTCCACGTATTTTAAGCCTTTGTTTAAGAACAGTGCATGCTCGATTATCTCTGCACATTCTGACTTTGCAGAGGTGCTGTGTGCAGGGAAGGCCTGCCGTTGGCCCGCCCCTTCCTCCAGGTCCTCAGATTTTCGTCTCTTTATTGGAATCTTTTGTTGGACTCTAACCCCACGTCGGAACATGAAAATGTTGGTGGTTAATTTTTTTCTCTTAGGTGCCTTGACTCTTTTGGGGGCCCGCCACCCAGCTCCCAAATAAATCACACACAGTTTCATTCTTTCTTATAAGTGCCCGCCCTTAGCTTGGCTTATTTCTAGCCAACTTTTCTTAAATTATCCCATCTACCTTTTTCCTCCAGGCCTTTCCTTTTTCTTACTTCTGTATATCTTACCTCCTCTCTTACTCGGTGGCTGGCTCTGGGGCTGGGTGGCCAGGTGGCTGCCATTTCTTTTCTCGCTCCTTGATCTTTCTTGTCCCCTTTTCTTTTTCTCCCAGAGTTCTCCTTCTGTTTATCCTCTCTACCTGCCGGCCCCGCCTATCCTTTCTCCTGCCTCACTATTGGCTGTTCATCTCTTTATTAGACTATCAGGTGTTTTAGACAGGCAAAGAATCACAGTTTCACAGAGTTCGACAAATGCAACATATCTTTGCATCACTAGAACAAATGTTCCCCAGCATAAACAAATGTAACACTCCTTAAAATAATATTCTACAACAGGGAGCTTGGATCTGCCCACCCTCAGCCTTCATAATGGCATCCTGTTTACACTCCTGACTTGAGCCAGTGTAACAGCTTATGGGCAAGACCCAGCACTGATCCCCTTCAGAGGTCAGCAAATTATTCCCTCTTGTTTTGGCTCTGTTTTATAAATACATACTTATCAGAGCTGTGTGAGTATCTACATGTGGCTTCTTTGGAGCTATAAGCTGTATTGACAGAATTGAGTAGTTGACCCCCAGTGCTTGAAATATTTACTCCCTGGCCCTTGGCAGGCGCACTGTGCCAGCCCATGGCCAGCATGAACAGAGGCCTCCACCTCAGCAGTAAATAACAGCACACACTTCACAGACATTTGAAGAAGAAAGCTCACCCACCATGCCCCTAGCAGCAGGTCCTGGTGAGCCCAGAGTGTCTCACTTGCTGTGGTTATGGAAGTCGGTCAGCTTTTGTGGATTTAAGAATCCTGTTTGAATGTTGTCATGCGTGGTTACATAAGCACTGAAGAGGCTGCACACAGTACAAAGTGCTTTCCCTCCGAGCCACACTCTCAGCCTACCTGGGTCATCCCTGGCTCCCCAGTTGTTTGGGACAGGTAACTTGTCATCCCTGGGTCTTGAGTGTTCACCTTCAAAATGAGGGTTCCAGTGAAATGCTTTCTTGGACATCTTATAAGGAATCGAATTGTTTTGAAGAACTCAGAACTGAATGTAGCACATAATAATAGTATAATAATAGTAAGGTTTTTATTATTAGTCCATTTTGTGTCTACTGAAAATGCCTTTATGTCTTCAGATGTGTGCACACTCAGGAATGTGACCCTCAGGCTGGCTAGCTCCAACTGCTTCCCCTCCCAGCTCCATGTTGCCCCTCCTGCTTCCTGTGAACTGTCCCGACATGTCCCTGCTTGCTCCCCTTGGCATCCCCCCCATTCACCAGCCGCTGGAGACAGGTTTCCTAAGAATCCCCAGTCAGTGAGCACAGGGCTTGTCCCGCCCCAGAGCCTGGCCTACATCAGCACCGGAGGTTTCTCTTCCCCTACTGCTTGTACAGACAGAAGTCTACACTCCTTCAGGATTCCTGGGCCTGCACCCCAGTCAGAATCACTCCCCTGCCACCATCGTGTGGTGTTGCTTTGGGGCTGTTTCCTCTGCCCCCCCCCCCAACCACATATACCAGTGTGCATGCACCTACACAATTCTTAAATCCGGAGCTCTCCCAGTGCAGCCACTTAACTTAATTCCCCTGCACCTGGAGCAGTTTCTGGTGTTTTTGTTGTATGTGTTGTCATTAGGTGATGGGAGAATGTTCCAGAATGTAGTCAGGACAGCTGAGAAAGTCTATCCACAGACTATAGACATTTGTCTTTTTTATGTTTGTTTCATTTCTGGGAGATAGCTTGTTTCGTTGGTAAATACATGGATTTTTCTCATCAGTTTGCATGAGCTTCCGTCCTGACCTCCAAGCTAGGGTTTTCTCGTTTATAAACAGTGGTGTGTTTGGTTATTGGAGGAGCTGGATTAACTCGTGGGGCAGAACGCTTTAACCAGGTGTCTAGTGTGCCCTTTGGCTCAGCAATTAACATCTGCTGTTCTTACTGAAGTCGCCATGCCAAGGTACGGTAGGAAGGGAAGCATTGCTGCAGCGCAGCTGGAGGCCCTGCAGGTGCCTTCCTCCCCTCACACCACCATTCCCTGTGCCCATTGTCCTGCTAGGGTGACACCAAGGACATAAGCCAACCGCTTATGAAAAAGGGATGAGAAAAGGTTGGTGCCCACAACAGAACAGCCTTGTTGGATCTGTGCAGATACACGTGACACCGTCCTGTGAGGTGGGGAGGGGTCTTTGTCTACAGTCAGGTGGAGGTGGGATGTGGTAGGACGGTCTCAGTGGCCCTCATCTGAAGACTGTCTAACATTGTACTTCTGGGTGAAGTGGAAGATGTAAGGTATTCAACAGATTGGCGAAATTTTGGGCTGGGAACTCTTGATTTTTGTAACAACAGTGACTGACTCTAAGGCCGTGGGTGTGTTAAGCAAATGCTCTACCGCTGGCCTATGTTTGTAGCCCTTTATTTTTTATTTTGAGACAGGTCTTACTATGGTGGTCAAGCTGTCCATGAACTCTCCAAGTAGCCCAAGACATTTTTGAATATGTGATCCTCCTGCCTCAGCTGCCCACGTAGCTGGGATTACTAGCCCAAGAGTCCAGACAGCTTGGTGCACGTGCTCTCAGACTGGCTTTCTGTCCCAGTGTCGCATAGTCCTTTGGGCTCTGTCACTGAGCTGGTTCTCCAGGTGCCTTGGGAATGCAGCCGTGTTTGCACAGAAGTGACAGATACAGAACATGACCAGGGCCTAGGGCCCCGTGCTGGGCACTTCACTCTACAGAATGTATTTCCAGCAAATGCTTTCATGAATGTTTAAATAAAAGGCTTTAACTTGTCTTTGCTTTTTGTCTAGGCAACTACTCCAGAACCCCAACATATAGTGGGGTACCCAGTGCAAGCTACAGCGGCCCAGGGCCCGGTATGGGTATCAATGCCAACAACCAGATGCATGGACAAGGGCCAACCCAGCCATGTGGTGCTATGCCCCTGGGACGAATGCCTTCAGCTGGGATGCAGAACAGACCATTTCCTGGAAACATGAGCAGCGTCACCCCCAGTTCTCCTGGCATGTCTCAGCAGGGAGGGCCAGGAATGGGCCCACCAATGCCCACTGTGAACCGCAAGGCCCAGGAAGCCGCTGCAGCTGTGATGCAGGCTGCTGCAAACTCAGCACAAAGCAGGTATGCCTCTGAGACAGGTCGGGCTGTGTGCCCACATGACCAACACCAGCCCATCCTTCCCTTCTGTGTTCCAGAGCAGCAGTGCTTGTGTTTATGCGCGAGGCAAGGTCAGAGAGGTGATAGACAAAGCCTTCTTACCTACGAGGAAAGAGTCTGAGTGGTGGGAGATGAAGTGCCTGTAACTAGTGCCTCTGACTGTAGCCAGAGAACCAGTTGTGCCATGCATAAAGGAAATGTCTGCCCTGTTTCACTTTGATGAGTTTTAAGCAGAAAACACTATAGCCTAACTATTTAAAGTCTACGACATTGCAAAAGAAACAACTTGCATTCACACACTTGAACAATGCAATTCGAATATGCACACTCATTTGCACGTGCACTTGCGCACATACTCAAACATGTACAGTTATACCGTAAGATCTCTATACAGTAGAAACTTTGGTCTGGTGTGGTTGCACACACTTTGATCCTATCGCTGGGAGGCAAGAGGTAGGCAGGATCCCGAGAGTTTGAGGTCAGCCCAGACTGCCATAGCAAGATCTGGGCTAGTCAGGGATACATGGTGAGAGACCTTGTCTCAAAAAAAAAAAAAAATCAAAATCTTCTTTGTGTATATGTGTGTACTGTGTGTTTGTGTGTTGGTCTAAATAAGTATAAATATGTATGGGATTTTGTATTTTATTATCTGATCATTTTCCTGTCCCAACCAAATTGTGGTTCTTAAAGTAAAAATAATATTTTAGACAGTTCAAGCTGGTTGAGCAAGGCTTTACCCTCTGTCCTTGGTTTTATTCTGAATTCTTAATATTAATTAAATATATAATTAAATATACCTCAAAATACCATAATTTTAAAATATGTGAAGCAAAAATGAACTTGCTTTAAAAGGGTCAGATGCAGACCTGTCTTTCTAAAAAGCACACCAGAAACTCTGGGCCTCAGGGTACCTGCAAAAGTCAGGAAAATTCTGACTTTTATCAAAGAGTAATAGAAGCTAATTGTGTAAGCACGTATGTGTGTATCTCTGTGTCTGTGTATGTTCAAATGTGTCTGTGAGTGTCCATGAACGTGCATTTGTTTAGATGTGTCTGTGTGTATCTGAACACACATGTGTTTAAAATGTGTCCATGTGTCTATCTGTGAACACGCACATGTTTAGACATGTCTATGTGTCTGTGTGTATTTGTGAACAAGCATGTGTTTAGATGTGTCTGTGAACACTCACGTGTTGAGAAGTCCGTTTCTTCCCCTCTGAAGCTGGTACTCTGAGCAAATAGTGCTCTAAACTCTGATGCATTTCCTCTGAGGAATTGAGTGGAAACCCGGCGTTCCTCCCTGTTCTCTTAGCTCTGTATGCGCACCTAAAACCTCCTGACCCCAAGTGTCCGCCCCGCAGCCAAATGGCACCGCTGCTCCCGCTGTAAGCGTCTTAAATGAACTGCCCGTTGTTGCCGCTCCTGACGCCCAGGTTACTTCACTTCTGTTAAGTAGGAAGGGTGTGATTGCCTCTGACAGGGCCTATGATGGCAGCAAGGCGGCCATGGCCAGAGAGAGCAAGGCTGGACCCCACCTGATGAAAGTGTTGGTGCTTCTTTTCTGGATCAGTTGGTAGTAGAAATCCCTGTGTTAATACCCAGCCTTGCATTTGTTTTCTGTGTTTAACCAGCAGACTGACCCAAAGCCAGCGTCACATCCTCCCTGACTTAGGTCTCAGCTGTTTAAATGGTGGCCATTTGTTGATTTGGTTTACCTCAAGTCAAAACTATATGTAACTGATAAATTGAGAGTAGCTATGAGAATATACTTTTCTCTCTCCTTGGCCCTTTCCTCTACTCTGTTGAGTTTCACAAAGCCCCGCCAGGTAGATTCATGGCCCAGAGTAGCCTCTTTTCCCCTAGTCTATAAGCTCACACCGATGCATGGAATGGTGTGGGCAGGGCCTCAGACTGGTGCTTCAGAACAAATCCACACAAGCTGTTGTTCCATCTTTTTTTAGACTACATGTGTTAAGTCACCTGTGATCCCAGCCACTCTGGGGCTAGAGGACGCCCCATGTTTTTTTCCCTAACTGTGGCAGCTTCCAGACTCCCTGATGCACCAGCCTTACCATTATGGGTAGGAAGCAACACCCCCCAGAGCTTTCTGTGGGAGAGCTGGGCATTTGTCCCAGGGCAGTGTGATGAGAGTCCTCTCTCTATCTGGGTTTCACCTGCCTGCATTCCTTCATGCTTGAGAAGAAAAGTAGAACTGTTACCTCCACAGAAGCGGTGACATCTCCCACCCTGCCCAGTCCCCTTTGCTGTTGGTGTTCTGTGGGGAAATCAGGGTTGTGCTGCCATACCCAGGAGCCTGAACCCTCCAAAAGTAGAGCTGCTGGACCCCGGGGCAGAGGAGAAGCCTGTAGTACCACTGAGCCTGCCCGTTAGCCAGTGACTTCTGTTATCTCTTCCTCAACAGAGGCCGAGAACGAATGACCAAGGAAATTTGATGAAATAATCAAGAATTTTTTGCCATTCCACAGTGACGTTTTGGTCTTAATGTCAACACAGGAGTTGTAGACAGCAGCAGAATGGCCTTTCTTCGCCGCTGCAGAGCTGTTGCCGGGAAACTGCGCGTGGTACTGAGGGTTACTCAGCAATAATATTAGCATATCATGTTGTGTGTGTTAATCAGGTCCGCACATCCTTGACCTTGGCAATGAGGGACAGTGGAGACGGGCCTCCAGCTGAGCCCTGCAAACAGTAGCCCCAGCTCCGCTCTCATCCCTTCTTACCCCTAACTCCAGCTTTGGAGTAGTCTTCCCTTCGGTACACACCACCGCAGACAGCAAGAGCAAAGGGTCATTCTGTAAACAGATTCTCACTGCACACCAGCAAAGACTCCTGTGAACATAATCCTCAATCTAAAGTAACTGTAGAATGAGACAGACATGCTTATTCTTGGAAGCCTACTCTCCCAACCTTGAATTTTCCCATGGGGTCAGCTCACTAGTCTAGAGGAAGGTAACGGTTTGTCATCAGCGGCCGATGGCAGGCTCGGTCCTCCCAGCTCAGGAGTGCTGTTTAGACCCACAAAGCTGTTCTGGCTGCGCTTTGCCAAGCCACATTAAGCAGCTGTGTAAAATGAATTTAAATGGCATGCATCAGAGTAAAATCTCTTCCACTGGGGCAGAAAATCAATGTTAGCTAACCAGCCTGAGAAGATCAACTCGGCTCCAGCCAGCAGCTTCCCGAGAGCTGCGAGAAGACAGCACCTCCTCCTTAATAGAAAATGAGGAGGAGCAATGCCAGAGCTCCTGTGAGGTCCTCCACCTGGCAGAGGCTCTGTGCAACCCCTGTCTGCTGCCTTTGGTTTGCTTTTCATGGTTACAGTACCCTTTCTGAAAAAGAAAGAAATCCAAGTTTTGTTTCTATTTAGGTCACCCATCTGCCCCGCTTTGCAGAGCACTAACCCCCCCTCCAGGTTTTCAGAAGGCCGACTTGGCTGTGAGAGAGCAGTGTGTTACAAGTCTCTGCAGCCATAGCCAAGAGCCCTGGTTTCAGCATGATTTGCTGCCCTGGGCATCAGACTCACAGTTTGGCTTGTTTTTTTTTCTTTTAATTGATGGATGGCAGGTGAAGCCGCTTTAGAAAATGTGTTTCTTTGGGGAGAGGGGCGGGAAAGCTTGGTCTTTGGGCCGCTATCCTCCTTCCCAAAGAGCACAGAGCCTGGGAAAGAATCACAAAAGGACAAATTATTGATGACGGTGGGAAGCGTGTGTCTGATTCAGCCAAGGCAGCAGCGTGCTGGAGAGAGGAAGGCTTGTGAGCGGGTGTTGTGATGACGGTGTTCACAAGTGGAGTGTAAGATACAGGAGAAAGCATCAGCTTACCTGCTTGAAAAGTCTCTCACTGGTGTCAGATTTGAGGGTGACTTCTAAGTGTAAAACCCACCTGCTATGTTGAATAAGCTACACATACATAGGTTGTTTCTCTTTCTGCCCTTTGGATGAAGGAAGGGAAGTATCTGTAATAGCAAGTGCTTTGGTGCCCACTGCCCACGTGCTGTCAGGCGCGACGGCACCTAAACATCCAGGTTAATGATTTATGAAGAGTCACTGTGCTCAGAAAGTGTCTTACAATGGGTTGTTCTAGAGCAGCAATAGTTAATGGGGTTTTACTCTGGAGTGTGGCGTCTGTTTGAGCCTCGTCTGCCAGAAGCTCAGGGAAGACCTTGGCCCCTGCTTCCTCAAGAGGCCTTGTCATGAATCCTAGACATAGCCACAGCTTCTTGGATGTTCTCAGTGACTGAGTTCATTACCCATGGCCTTGACAACACAGCCACACATGGAAGCCAGCGAGTGTCCTCAGCCCAGCACAGCCACACATGTGAGCCGGCGAGTGTCCTCAGCCCAGCACAGCCACACATGGGAGCTGAGTGTCCTC